AGTCACCATGAAAACAGGGCTGAACTCCAGCCTGGGCAACAGAGTGAAACCCTAGTCAAAAAATAAAAAACACCAAATAAATTTATTGTTCTCAAGGTACAGGACTTAAAGAGAGAGAGAGAGAGAGAGAAAGAAAAAAGAAACAGAAGGAAGGAAGGAAGGAAGGAAGGAAGGAAGGAAAGAAAACTGAATATTACTCTCATTTTTAAACCTCGCTCACCTCATCCCCCAGAATGTATCATCAGCCCTACTGAGGGAATTTTTTGAAAGGTTTCTAAGAGAAAGCCTGGAATAATCTCCACGAGATGGCCATATTCTTCAAAATCTGTTGTTATGTACAAAACGTAGAAGCCTCTCTTCCTATTTCAAGAAAGACTTAACAGACTTTGGGGGGAAGTTTGCATCAGGCTGAGAAAGATTTGGCAGGAGAACTAAAACTTCTCAAAGCCCCAACAGGGCCAATAAAGGGCCCAGTCGCCAAGGTTGTTTATTGTGTGTCTCCAGTAGTAGGTGATAGGGAAGGCGCAGCTCTGACATTTTAAGTTCACCGTAATTATAATGACATCAAAGAAAGAGCTCCTGGAAAAAAAAGGTCATAAAAAAGTAAAATTATGTTGTTATGTTAAAAGACTAGGGTTAATGTGCCAGTCTTTTAGACTGAAAAGTCAAACTATTATACGAGGTATTCTGGCTTCTTTTTATTTTTGGCTTTGATTGTATCAGAAAACATGTTTTGAATGCACCTCTGCTGGTCCTATTTTAAACAAATAGGCAAGTCACCCTTCATAACGATTAAGATGCTTCTGAGCAAAGGAGTGAGGGAGGCTCTGAGGGCCAGGGTGTGCAGGAAGATTGGAGGAGGATAGATAATGCGAATCCTATGAACCAGAACAAGGGACCCAACCCCATAAAATAAACCAAAGACTGAATGTGGTTACGTGCTAGTGAAATCAGTTTTCATGGGCGTATTTTACAGGGTGTCTCTTTTAAACCAAGGTCAATTAAAACCCTGGGCACCTCTTTAAATGGGCCACCCTCCTTGACCCTCTTGCAAGCTCTGCCTGCTCCGGACACACAGCTGAGGTGCTCTGGGAACACCAGGGACCCCCAGAGGGTCTTCCTCCTGGAGAAGTGGAGCCACAACCATCCAATCTGCCCAGTAAGTCATGGGCAGGCAGTCAAGCTCTGCAGACACTATGGGTGCTGGAAAGTTTACTTTTCAGAAGGCTGCTTGAGTGTTTTATGAAGGTGTCATTAAAGTACCTGCTTGTGTATATCGACTATTCCCTGTGGTCACAACAGTCTTCTTCACCCACTTCTACACTCCCACCAGTTTGGGACACAGGAGACAAATTGGTGAGATGGGGATGCTGTCGTGGGTGTAGACTCTAGTGAAGGCTCCAGATGTCAGGTCTGAGGGTCTCCACTAGGTATATCTTTCAGCCCCAATTCTGAAGATCCTAAGAAGCCACTGGAGGGCTTCTTTCCTGCCTTGTCCTTAGAGAGTGTCTCCCACCCCATTCTCAGCTAACTAATCCTGCTGACATGCCCATCCCCTCACGCACCCTAACCCAGGCCCCATGGCCACAGAATGTGAAGGTTGAAATGGATCCCAAAGATGATTGGGTTCAAACCCTTTTGTCCAGATGAGAAAACTAAAGCCCAGAGAGGTGGAGCATGTTGTTCTTTGGGGGCTAGAAAACCAGGTCCCCTAACTGCCATTGCAAGCACGGTCCCGTATACTACCTTCCCCACGCTGTGCCCCCATCACCCAAACGCTAGAGTCTTAAATTCTTCAGGAGAGATTCTTAAAGAAATATTCTTCCCCCCCCCCACTCTGAAGTCCAATGAAGTTTTTGGCAAATAACTCTGAGGGATCTGTGGAAATTTCTACTCCAGCACATCCTAGCTTCCTAACATCAGTGCCATTTGGCTAGAAAATGTGTCTCATCCTAAGATTAGCTGCTGTAATGGGAATATCCTCCCCACTGTGGGGTTTATTTCCTGCATAGCTTAAGGGCCTAGCCTTGTAAAACCCTGTCCAATTTACATAAATGTAACAATAGTCACATATTTCTAATAAGTATATAATTGCCCATACCTTAGGACAGTGGTTCTCAAGAACCTGTGGGTCTCAACCCATAGGAACTATATTGAAGGCCCTCGGCATTAGGAAGGTTGAGAACCACTGCCTTAGGACAAATTGTATTAATGTAACTCATATAAGTAAAAATTAGATCTGAAAATGTCAAAAAAAAAATTAATTATCTACTCCCTCCTTTCAGTTATTCAGCAACAGATCTAAGAAAACCTGCACCTGGTAAGGCTGTCCTGCCTCTCACCTGGTGATCTCCACTGCAGGTTCGGCTTACCCGAGCTGAAAGCCACCGTGCTGCGTTCGGTTACCCAGTAACGAAGGCAGGGTGAGAATGCGTGGTCTCTCCACACCAAGCCTGCCATGCAGCCAACGCCTCCCGACCAGGGCCCCACCCACAACAGAAATGACTGACACTTCAATTCTACCAGAGAGGGATCTTAACAAGAGAAAAGGACTGAAATAGCAGCAAAATGGTGTCAAGGACAACCACATTCAAGCTCTGTGTTTGGTCCCTCAAAACCAAGTCACTGCTTCCCAAGTGTGTTAGCAGATTCTACCATGGTATTCTTGCTATCCATCCCATCCCATCTCCCCAGGATTCCTGTGGGGTCTTTGAAAAGTACATCTGTTTGGAAGGACATGGAGATGACTCCATCTGGAGGAAGCAAGGACTGAATGACCCCCACCCCTCCCCATGTCTGTGCCTGATGCAGCGAGGTGAAATGGGAATCTTGCACTGAGCTATCAGAAAAGCAACATGATCTAATGATCACAAGCCAGTGCTCAAATCCCCAAATTTGTGGAGGTCAAGTAGGGTAGGGGTCAGAGGAGATATGGCAGAAAGAAAACATTGCAAGATTTCAGAAAACTAAATTCTGCTTCCTTAGAAGTGAACTTTGTCCAAATGCGCTCATGTTCTCACCTGAAGTCTGATATAAGTTCCTTCTAGTTTCCAATTAGCTAATTGAATGGAATTCAGGAAACCTTTGAACGTCTCAGTTTCCATTTTGTGTCAGACCGTTGAAGAGTCAGAAAAATATTGAAAGAGGATCAGAGTAAAGTCGGTCAATTCATGGGGGCACTTTACGGTACTCACAGGTCGGGAAAGGCCACAGGCACTTCCGTTGGGAGATCATAATGTATTAGAATATTTTTAAAAATAAAAATCCAAAACAGGTTGTTTGAGTTTGACAAATAATTACTTTTAATGCACAAAAAAAGAGATGTAATTGAATAGAAGACCTTTTCGAATACACTGCCCTAGCCACACCACCTTTCAAAGGTACTGAGGAAGGCTGCCATCTCTGATGGTCAGGTAAGAGAACTCCCAGCAAAGCTGTGTCCACAAAGTGACTTCCTTTTATAATGCCTCCATAAAATATTTTGGAAACATGCAGAAGGAGAGTCTCCATTGTATTTATTATTCACTTAAGTGTGATTACTGACTTCCAAAGGACTCTTATTTCATGTTCTGTCATGGTTTTTAAGCACCATCAACCACTGTTGTTGAAATGACTTGGTCCTACGTGAGTCCATATTCTAAGAAGAGGGAACGGATGAGTTATTTCGCAGTCCTAGAATTTTAAGTCACAAAACAGAAAACAAGTGGAGTCTTGTGTAAACTCCGCGTATAGCTATTAAAGTCATTCTAAAAAGCTCTTAATGGCCCTTTCTGACACATCTCTTAACCATAAAGTTCTTCCCAATAATATGCCTTCATCTTTCCTGCTGGAAATGGATTCTTCCCTGGACCTCGGTGGAATTCGCACGCAGCCATTTGGGATCTTCCATTGCCTTTCTACACTTCGAAAGACTATGTGAGCACATCCTCACACCCACGTGAACCAAAATCCTGAATTAGACATTTCCATTAGGAAGTTTTCAGAATCCAAACACTCGCTCACTTTCTCCCAGTGTACTAAGGTCAGCGCAAATAACCAGCAGAGACACCTGTGAACTTGGACTTCAAATCTGATACTTCATCCCAACATCACACATTCACACAATGCTGGGTGTATGCTAAATCAGCCAAGACAGATGGAAAAAATGTCACTTTCTCTCCTTAATGCTGTCATTTACTAACAAGATTCATTCCCCACTGTTCCAACCCTTCTCCATGGTGTCCAGACAAAATCAAAAGAGTCCCTGTCCTAGAAGGTGTGTGTTGCTGCTGAGTCACAGCTGCCAATCTGGCCACAGTATCCCAAAAAGGAAAAAAAGGTCAGTTTGTCCTCCTGAGATATGGTGAATTCTTTTGCCAAAATTGATTTTATTTTCCTGGAGAACTCATTTTTAGGTGTTCAGGTTTCCCCAATACTCCTGTCTGCCTTGCCTCCCTGGTCACTTTCTCAGGGTCGGTGAATATGTCCTTGCTGTTTCCAGCCCTTTTCCATCACTGGATCATACTGACAATGAGCCGGCCTTTCTCCCTAGCTCCTGAGTCAGAAAAATTACCAGCAGAACACATCTCTAGAAAGCGAGGCTGTGTACTCTGAACCCCAAAAGATATTTAGCCAACCAGTTCTCTGTGGAGCTATAGCACTCACCTATCTCTAGCTACCTATTTGTTTCAGAAGAATTCAATCCAGGGAAATGATTTTGGCATAAAGATATAAGAAGACCAGAGCGCTTTTAAATTCATAGCGACTGGAAGTCCAAACAATGCAGGGAGTTAACAGGTAACGTTCAGAGTAGCCCAGCTGCCCTCCAAAATAAAATACTACTGAGAACCAGCGAAGTAAGCCCAGCAAGCTTACCTGGGTAAGCCCAGGTACAGCCAGTTTTACTTCCTGCCAGCTGCCTCCAAGACTCTGTTTTATTTTCCTCCCTCTGACTTAAGGTAGGCTTCTCTTTCCACTCAGGTGTTTGGATTTCAGATTCAAAAGAAGGTTTAAGAACTTACCTCATTTACCTAAAGATTCTGGGTGGGAAATCCAATCGCTGTGGCTAATGGAGAGAAGGCGGCCGAGAGCAACCACGCCGGCTCCTCCAGGGATGGGGAGCCTCAGGTGTTATCACGTCTCAGCCCTCATGAGAGTGGAGACAAACGCATATGACAATAATTTTTAATCATTCTTGTAGGATGTTAAGCAATAAGCCACCAACCGGGAATTCCCTAAGTCACTTCCCCCTCTTCTGATTGGCTGCCTGGCCATTTAATAAAATAAAGGATTACAAACATTGGCTCATTTGCATTTGGCCAGCTCACACGTTAGTGTTCAAACAAAACAGGTCTAACCAGGTTGCGCCTATGTCTCCAGAACAGAGAGACAATCTGTTAATGGATGAGGAATTGATTTGGTGGTGACTGTTCTTTTCAGCTCAGAGACTGTTTCAGGTGAAAAGCACTGTGCTCCCCAAAGACACCATCGGGAAGGGAGGACGCAAAAGCAAAGTTCAAGGCTGGGAGAGATGATGTGTAGGGGAGTGCGGGACCTCTGGAGCACCTGTTCATTCACTAGTCTGTATTCAGTCCACTTTGCCCTGGCTGTGCAGGGGGCAGGTTCTACAGAGGCTCTCAGCCCTCCTCCTCCAGCACCGGACTGCCTCTCCTGAGGCAGTTGCAGTGAACTTTGAAAAGCCTGCCTCTCCAGCCCCAGCTAATAGCCTTGGTAGAAGGTTTGAAAGGGAGGGTCCTAACAGGTTGGGTCCATTATGAGACGTTCAGGTCAAGCAGTCAACTCTCAACAATGCAAAGGCTGATTATCCGGTTGGTGGATTATCTAGTCCTTCACTTCCTCTTCTCACTTACGGGATCTTTTTTTTTTTTTTTTTTTTTGCTGTTTTTTGACACTCCCTAAAGAAAGCAGAGAAACAAAGACCAAGAGGCTGAAACCGAAAGAAAGTGGAATGTTGGGGAGGATGTACGAATTTTAAATCCCTACGCAACCCCCATTTCCCTGGGCCAACGGGCAAGTTGGGAGTTACCTGTACCTGCTTCAGTGGGGCACAAAGTTACCTGCCCCCCATACAGGTGAGTGGCTTCTCCTGGCGAGCAAAAATACCATCCCTTAACTATTAACTTTCTCTCAGATCTTCCTGGCCATCAGCCTGACACAAATGAAGGGTCCAATCAGATTTCTTTCTTTTTTTCTTTTTTCTTTTCTTTTCTTGTCTTTTTTTCTTTTTTTAAGCCCTGGGTAGAATGCCGTGACATCAGCCTAGCTCACTGCAAACGCAAACTCTTGGCCTCAAGCGATCCTCCTGCCTCAGCCTCCTGAGTAGCTAGGACTATAGGCACCTACCACAACACCTAGCTAATTTTTCTATTTTTAGTAGAGACAGGGTCTTGCATTTGCTCAGGGTGGTCTTGAATTCCTGAGCTCAATCGCTCATCTTGCCTCAGCCTCCTGAGTAGTTGGGACTGCAGGTGCCTGCCACAGTGCCCAGCTATTTTTAGAGATGGGGGTTTCACTTTGCTCAGGCTGATCTCAAACTCCTGAACTCAAGCGATCCTCCTGCCTTAGCCTCCCAGAGTCCTAGTATTACTGGTGCAGGGCACTGTGCCTGGATACCAAGCAGGCCTTTAACTTAACAGGCCTCCCCTTTGTGGAAGAGGACAGAGAAATTGAATTTTGGCAAAGAGACAAAGATTTTGTGATCAAAACCCAGAAGCTCTTTGTGCAAAAAAGAAAAAGTCTGCATATGGGCAAAGGCTGACTACGAGTAGAATAAAAAGTAAAATGTAGTTATTGTGAAAAGGCAGTAGGCCAGCGATAGTGTGAGTCTTTTCTTGGTGGTTTTCTTAGTTTATGCAACACGCATGCAGAAGTTTCTGCAAGTGTGAAAGGCTTGGTGGAAGGGCAGGGGTGGACCTGGGAGGGCTCCTTGTCTCTTGGTCTTGAAGGATTGGGCAGTGCAGTACAGGGAAACTCTGACAAGCCCCTCTGCCTCCCTCACCAGCTCTAAATATTCCCACCCTTCCCTACAGTTCCACTGTGTGAACTTGCCAAGGGCCCTTTTAAAATGTAAATGTATGCCCTAGGACTGATAAAAACAGTAAATGTCATTATTCCCATTATCACATTAGCCCCAATTAGTTTATCAGCTCCAGATCTGAGAGCAGAGCCCTGAGGGAAGGCCTGCTGGAGTTCTGCTGGAGACATGAATCAGGAGCAGCCGCAGTAGCTGCACTCCGCCCACTGCAGGGTATTTGCCTATTGGGGCCCAGAATCCCTGCCACTGGGATACCAGGCTAGCAAACTTGGCCTTTTTTACACACTTCTGCCTGAGATGCTCTGAGACAGTAGGGTGGGAGGTAGGGGATAGAGTTGTGTGGTCAAGAGGCAATAAACTTCAAAAGCAACTGCGAAGTGATTCTCAGCTCTCCTGCCCAGTCCCAACTGCCTTTAATTACAAGCACTTAAATTTCTAGCTGAAAGAGTTCTGGTTACATCTCCATTCTTTTTCCTGCACTTATTCTGTCCATCTTAGACTGGAAGACTGCTGCATTAATGCTCTCCCAAGAAGAGTCATGGTGGGGTGTGGGTGGGGGATGGACAGATGTCCCTTCATTCTCACAAGCCACTTTATTTATGGAGTTTTTGGTGTATGTAAAGTAATGATATGTCTGGTACTTAGCAGGTAATGGTTAGGTATAGATTTTTTGTCTTTATCTGGGACTTAGCTGATCCTCCCAGGAGGAAAACAAAAGCAATACCCCTCTCCCTCACATAAAAACTACATTGGTAGGTATATTGCATCTAGAATTTTTTTTTCCTTTGGAGTATGAGGTTTTTCACCCTACTGCCAAATTTAACAATCTGCGAGATTGATGAATAGATGATAGGAAGAAGAAAGATGAAAGAAAGAAGGAGGGAGGGAGGGAGGGAGG